GGCTGCTCCTTCTCAGTCTCCTCTGCAGGCTCTTCTTCTGCAGCCTGATGCTTAAGTGCTGGTAATCCTCAGGGTTTTGTCCTAGGCCCTCTCCTCACTTTAACTACTCTCTCTAGGATTCCATTCATGCCCGGACCTTCATTAGCTGTCTCTATTGACACCTCTCAAGTTTCCATCTCAGCCCCACTTTATTTTGTGACCCATGTATCCAGCTGCTGACTGAAGGGTTGGTGGATCCAATCTACCCAGAGGCGCCTCAGAAGAAAGGCCTAGCAATCTACTTCCAAAAAATCAGCCATGGAAAACCTTATGGAGCAGTGCTACTCTGACACACATGGGGTCACCATGAGTCAGAACTGACTAGACAGCAAATGGTTGGATCCTCCTTAAATGCAAATCTGCTTAAAATCTCTTCAAGGGCTCCTGGTGGCCTCAGGACCAAGTCTAAATTCCTTACCAGGGCTAACTAGACTGTGCATGCTCTGGCTCCTGCTTACTTCTCCAGCTTCGTCTCACACCCCCGCCTTTCTGGCTGGCCTGAATCACTTTTAGTTCCAGCGAGTGTCACGCTCTCTCTCCCCATGGGGTTGTTCCCTTTGCTAGGAACCTCTCTCTTCATCTGGCTAATTTCCACCTAACCCCTCAGACTCAGCTTAGGTGTCTCTTCCTCTGACTAGCTCTCTATGCCCTTGTGAGTCCACAGTGGGGGTCACTCCCATGTGCTTCACAGCACCCCACACTGCTGTCGTCACAGGAAGATGTCACACTATTTTGGAATTGTCTATCCACTGGTTTGTTTTCCTTTCAATATCATAAGCTCCAGAAGGACAGTGACCACATCTGCCTAATTCACTAGTAGATCCCTGGATCTTAGAACAGGGGCTAGGGCAGAGGAAGCCTTCCATAAATGTTTGTACAATGAAAGAAGATAAGCAAGCGAGTAAGCATGGCCAAAGGCAAAGTGGGCAACATGAAGAGTCAGAAGACCTGGGTTCAAATCCTTGC